CCCAACAGGCCTCACCAGTAGGACCCTGACCATCCTCAGCAAACCTTCCCCAGGAGAGATTCTGCCTTTAGGGTTGTCCACGTGTCCCTCCTCCCCAAAGCTGGGTCACTACCAACCGGGGATGGTCAGACAAGTGTTCCCCCATCGTGGGCCACATCTTTGGGACCAGGACTCCCTGGGGAGCTGCTAATAGTGGACATTCCCAGAGAGAGAAATTGTCAACAGGGCCCGAGAGAAAAAGGAGACTGTGCTGGCAGGCTCGAGTCACCAGGCTCTGAGCTTGTTCCGCAGCTGTGGCTCCAGGTTGACCACCTCCCTCTTCCTTGGAGTGCCCTAGTCCCAGGCTGCCCACTCCCAGGATTCTCTGCACTTTAGTCTTTGGACTTCTCTTCGCGGGCTCTGACTTAAAGGGAGAAGGAACCAGCGTCATCGGGGAGTGGAAGGCCGCCCTCCCTGCCCACCCTGGCTTCTGTGGTGGGAGCCAGGCAAGGAGAGCAGGGCCTGGCAGCAGCCCGGGCCTTCTGGTGCCTATATAGGACCAGTGTGAAGGGGACTCCATCTCCCAGCCCCTTCACCTTTTAAAATGCGAGGAAGAAAACAAAACCAAGCAAGAACCACCAAATTCTCTTTTTAAAATAGGGACAAAGCTGTTGTCATTTTCCAGAAATGAATCCCATCCCTTTGGGCTCTGCAGTAGTTTGGACCACAGCTCCTTCTGAGCCCTGGTGGCCCTCCCTGAGTATCTCCCAGAAGAATGCAGCCCCTCTCTCCTGGCTCCCTCGTCCCAGTAATGCTGGCTCCCTGGGGCCTTCCTGTGGAACCATTGCTGCACGCCTCAGAGGGCTGAGGACTGTGGCCTGGCTGGCTGGCCAGCGTGGTGCTCCTCAAGACTGCAGCACTGAGACGGAACCTGGCCTCAGCTCAGGAACAGGGGCCACAGCAGGGCAGGACCCTCCTGTCTCCACATAGGGACTCGGACCAGGCAACAGGCCTGCCTGCAGCCTTCAGACTCCCTGTGTCCCCTAGAATGTGACTTGGGCTACAGCTCGCTGCATGCCCCTGCCCCCTTCTTGAATGTAGTCTGGTCGCAGTGTGCTCCTGGCTCTTTGTTGCCCGCCATCGCTCTGGCTACCCTGTTTGCTCTGCATCTAGCAGGATTTTCTGCCTGAGACCTGGAGCATCGCGTGGGGAAAATGGGAGAGACCCTCAGCGTGGATCCAGACGACTGAGCTGTCCGTACTCAGTTCTCTGGAGCCCTGTCCAGTGCTGAGCTCAAAAGGGAACATCGTCCAGTCTCCTCCCATCCTTGAGATGATAGGCAGTTGGAGCAAGAATGCAGAATGGGTGCTGCCATTGAGCTGTGGCAGAAGGGGACTGTCATGCCCCTGGGCGCCTTTGGCCAGGTTGACCAAGGATGTCTGGACAAATGCTTGTGTGGGTGAGGACCAAGTCTGCACACGAGTGAGTGGCTGCTTGGAGTTCACTGCTGTGATGCCAAAGCGTGCCCTGAGGTGACGCCCCCGCTCCTGCACCCCTGTTCCGTAGGCAGGAGAGGCTGCCGAGTGACGCCTGAGCACAGAGCCAAGGAGCTGAGTTAATAAGTCTGTCTGTCTGTCAAGTCCTGAGTTTGTCATTGGCAGGTTTCTGAGGTGTGGCCAGCTCTCTCTGAGTGTGGGTGTCTGAGCGAGCAGGCCAGAAGGCCAGGCAACAAACTCGCATGCCAAAGTGAACAGTCATCTCATAAGGACCCGGGCACGGCCCTGTGGACCGTTCCACATGATTCCACTTTTTATTGGCTTCCCTTGCCTCTGGCCTTTCTTTCCCTGCCATCCTGACACTGATAGTTTGTCATAAAAAGCCCTCCGGTTGTGTTTATCTTTTCTGAAAAAAAATTAAAACGCAAAAAACGACCACATGTAATTATATATAGCTTATGTACATGCATAAATATGTGTATATGTGCACATAAAATGTATATAGTATACACAGATAATGCATGCATGTATGCATCTGCATACATGTTTAAGTATCTACAGATAAATG